TTCTTTAACTTTTAAAAATATATATTTAAATTTTTATATTATTTAGATAATTTTTTATTAAGTTATGAATAAATAAAGAATTTCAAAATATTTTGTTACACACTGTATATAAAAATATATAGTTTATATAAGATAATTAATATAATACTAAGGATTTTATTATCCATATTTTAAATAAAAATTTTAAAAAATTTTTTATTTTAATTAAATAAACTTTTTTAATATAATACTGATACAAAAAATATAATAAATGAATTTATATATTAATTAAAAAATAAATTTTTCAAATTTTAAAGAAACTTTATTATTTAGAAACAATTGAATTTTTTTGATTATTCAAAGTTAAAAAATACTATATTTTAATTACATAAATTATTTTTAAGAAAAAATAATTAAAATAAAAAGATTTAAAATTGTTTTTATTTTTTATTTTTTAAAATAATCTATAGTAATAAACTATAAAAAATAATCTTAATAAAAATCTATTAATAATTTATTAAGGAAGTAAACTATTATTTCTTAAATCTAATTTAATGAACTCATACTTTTTATAAGTAATATAATTTTTCAATTATTATTATTATTATTATTATTTTAATTTACAATTATGTTATATACTTAATCTTTATTAAGAAGTTTATAACTATATAAAATATTACAGTTTTTTTTATATAATTATTAACTTATTATTGTATCAAAGTATACTAAGTCATGTCTAGAAAACGATATTTCACTTTTCTAAAGAATTGATATATATTTCCATTTTTTAGATTCATTGTTAATAGTTTGTTATTGTAGATTATCTATAATCATAAATTATTAAATTAAAAGAAAAAAAAAAAAAAAAAATAGAAAAAGGAAACAATTTATAATCCCATTAAAAAAGTTTAAAAAAAAAAACAATATTTCTTTCAAAAAAAATTTGTCTAATTGAAATAATTTTCTTGTTTTTCTTAAACTTTAGAAGAAATCTTCTTTGTTATTACCTATAGCTTTAGATAAGTTAATTTAATTAATTCTTTATTTAAACAAATATCAGATTAGAATATTTCTAAACCTTAGCTTTTATCTATTAAAGCTTTGTCATTACTTGAAGAACTTAAAAAAAAAATAGAAATTTATAATTTATATTATTTGGTTTTTTAATATAATAGATGTTTTTCTTAATAAACTTAAATTTCTGAAAATATATATTTTTGAAATTTTCTTTTTAATTTCCAATAATATTATCGAGATAAGTGAATATAATTAATAAAAGTTTGTTTATATTTTAAAAATCAATATGTTTTATATCAATCAATTATTTTGATAAGAATTTGTGTTATATAAAATTTAAGATTCAACTGAGGTAGGCAAAATTTTTCAAAAAATTATAAAAGTAAAAGCTTTAAGAGAACCTAAACAATTAAAAAAGAAGAAAATAAGCCTTTCTATTGTAACAAAACCTCTATAACTTCTTGCTTCAAAAATTAGAAAGGACTTAAAATACTTTATTATCAGTCTTTCTTCTTTTAGAACTTTCTTGCCATTGATATCAAAGGTATTATTTGACTTTTTTTAATTACTAAAAATTAAGTTTTTGAGTAAAGTGATTTATAAACAAGAGAGAAATGATAAAAATAAATCTTGAAATTATATTTCAAATAGTTTTATTAAAGTATTAAGACTTTATTAGCAAAAAAATGAAAAAACTTTTTGTAAACATCTAAGTTTTTTGTAATTCTTTAATTAATAATAAGTTAATCATTATATAAAAAAATCAATATAATATTATAGATATTTATTTAATACCTTAATAAAATATTTTATGATATAAAGAAAGACCTCTGATCTAATTATATAATAAATATCCAATTTCTTTTTAAACTGGATAGGAATATAAATCCTAGGACTTCATTTTTAGAACTATGATAATCATTTGAATATAATTTAATCCAGTAGACTTTGGAATTCTATTTTTAGAACTATGATAATCATCTAAATATTATTTACTTTAAACTATATTAACAAACTCTGGAATCTAATTTTCCTAACTTAGAATATTTCAATCTGATACTTTGCTTAATTGAAAATTAGTCAAACAGAAGAAGATAATATATCCCCTTTTGAAATTTGAACTAATAATATCTGAATATATTGAAGAGATTATTAAAGCCTATCAGGTATATACATAGTCAGATTAGACTAGTGAATATAATTTGAAGTTCAATACTAGTTAACTGGAATCTACTGTTTATGACTTGTGTTAACCATTCAGTCCCTAGCTAAGTCTATCCACTTTCTGAGTATAAGTTGATTTAGAAAACATTTTATGATAATATAAAAACTCATCATTTTATCGATGTATTAAGGGCTAGCTTCTTTTTATCTAATAAAATATGGTGATTCAATCAATAGTAAATAATATACTGTATATTTTCAATAACAATGAAAATTACATTTTTGATATCTTATTTTTAAGAGAAATAACGTGATTTCGAAATTCGTATATGCAGGGTTTTCCGGTTGCTCGATTTCGATTTCAGGGGTGTTCGAAGTAGCGTTTCGAACTCAATTGCTCGCAACCTTGCATTCAAGCCATAGAGCAAACTTATCGCGCTCACTTATGCACGCGCACCTCTTGGGTACTTTAATTTCCTTTGGAGTTGGTTATATCACTTGCCATTACAACTTAGTGACCAAGTTGATCGAAGCTTTTAATGACATTCCGTCAACTACACATAAGGTACCGGGGAGGTTTTTTATGCCTATGGATGAACTACGCGAGATCATTTATTATTGGTGCTTCGTCTGCTTATTCTCTGCGTTTTCTTTACGCGCAGCGTCACCTTCTTTACGTATTTGTAGGACTTGGAATTCTTTTTCTCCTCATTCTTATTCCTCTCTATCGAATTGCTGATTACGAATCTAAGCGAGTGAGCGAGTTTCTATAAAAATGGTTGTTGGTTTTTCGGTTTTAATAGGCATTAACCTATAATTTAACGCAACAGCACCAAAATTACCCATACAGAACTTCGGCCAGAGAACATCTCCGAAGAAGGGGAAGTTTTTGACTTCAACAATTTTCAAATATCAGCGCCGATTTTCTAAGTAAAGGTAGAGGCATAAGCGTATATACTTATGGACCGTTTGAAATTCGATGATTGATCGTCTTTTGTAGTCCAATGGACGCGCCCGGGACTGTTTTCAAGGTATTCTGGCCGGCACATGCGTGTTCAACTAAAACGAAACCAGGTTTTCTGATCGGCTGGAATGTTCGCAACTTTACGACCTGCATTGCCGCAGTCATTTCAAACGTAAATGTAAGCTCATGAGAAGTCCTCGAGTTTAGCAATAGATAATGCATCATTAAGAGTTCCATTGAATAGAATTTTGGAATTTAAGCTTACAGATTTAGAATCCACTTTGTCTGCGTTATCAACAGATAATAGCTCATCGTTTGTTTACATGGATGAAATATGTGGTGCATCACCAATTGTACTAGGAGTTATGACTACGCATTCTGATAAAGACGATGATGCTAATAAAGTGCTTGGTGCCGAAGGTACGAGGTTATCGTGAGAGTTGTAGAATTCTTTATTAAATGCTCATTTGATTCATTTGTGCATCATGAATAGGAGTGTCGGAAAAGAAGAAAACGGCGAGTATATGGTTGCACATTCAATTACGACATAACAACATGCCTTCACTCAGGTGGAACGCTTATTCATCATTCCGACTGACTTTAGTTGATTCGTAATTGCACGTCTATATTGAAAAAAAAAAAACAAATTGTCATCATTATAGATCGATATATCATTGTGGATGTGAATATTCTAATGTTAGTTTGGAAATTATTTTCTACAAGCAACCTAATCCCACTCGGCTTCAATATCTTTCGCTTGAGCCTTTAGTACTTGACATACAACAAAACCATGGTCACAAAGCCGAGCAAGATTTCATCACTATAAGGAATATGCAAAAGATTACAGGTGTTAGGATTCATTCTTCTAGGAAACAGCGAATGCAATCCAATGATATGGTTCTCGTTTTGAATCAGGTGTGATGCTTTGAAACGCGTTGAATTATCTCGGTGATGATTTTCGCAGCACTTAATTAATGGTGCTCGTTGAATCTGAATATCAGATCAATTCATCTTTTGAAATTGAAAAAGCCATCATATCTAGATGTCGTTTTATCACCATTATGCGAGATCGAGATGCCAGTGTTTCGGAAACCATGAGAAAATCGGCTTTGGGGATAGGAATATTCGTAAAGAATGTTATGCTTTATCCGATATACCATCTGATTTCCGTAATCCGACCTTTTCTTACTCACCCGATAATGCTATTCCTTATGCTGGTGAGGATATTCGCCGATTTGGTACTTCGGATCTTGAATTTAAAGTTCCCACTTTGGATTTTCAACGGGACCGCCTTGAAGGATTTGTTCGCAACGTGTAATTTCAAAAAACGGATTAAGTCTTGAAAAATCTTTTCCGATAATCATTGAAATGTTTATTCTATGTAACTAATTTTAAACGCAGCACAGCAAATTGACTTACGTCTTCAGCAGGCAAGCTTTTGGCCTTGGCAATACATGTTACTGCGACGAAGGGATTGGACCGACACCGCAACGACGCGAGCGCAATATATAAGGTAAGATGGTTATCAAAAACGTTACTTGTCGATGTATTTTTAAACGCACACTGAAAATCTTTTACGAATGCATCACTCTAGTTTTTACAATAGTATGTGGCTCGTAGCGAATGACATAATAATAGGCTTAACCATGGGATCTTTTCTCATAAATAATAGTGAGTACGTGGCAAATATCCTATCAAGGGATTATCTTGATGTAAGGAATGTCAAAACGTGTGCTTTAGTTCACGAATACATGCAAATGACTTATTATTTTTATTTTTGTTATTCGATGAAACCATATAGTATTATACGATCTCCAAGTTAGTCTCAATGATTGAATGGTTGATGGGCTGGCCTGCAGGCCTCAAGTTGAATAGCGAATTGGACAAATTTTTGGGCGAACTTTTTCTTTGGCTGATTGACTTATGGAGAGGTATCGTTCAAATCGAAAATTAAATTTTCACTTTCGTGCGTTAATAAAAATAGAAAATTTTTTATTTCGCACCTTTAGATTGCGTGATAACTGTTGGTCCATTCATGCCAAAAATTATTGGATTTATTGGACTATCGGGGGTCTTGGGTGGAACGATTGTTTTATCACTTCTCTCGGATTTTTTGTCATTCATGACGTTACATATTTATTTGTTTTACATGGTCGCAGCAAAGATATTTAATTGGCAGTTGACCATTCTTTATTCTTTGTTTAATTTGTTTCAAGGTATTCTGCTAATTCATACATATATCCGACTAAACCGTGACCAAAATAAGTGTATTTATTCGGTTTTCTTTGGACAGGGAAAAAATGGAATACCTTAAGAAACCGCATTGATTCGTGCGATTACGATTTGGATCAATTGCTCTTGGGCACGATATTGTTTACCTTATTGACATTCCTCTTTCCTACCACCATAGTATATTACGCCACGTTTGCAGCGGTAGATATTCGTGTCATCGTCGATTGTTGAAACGTAAAGGTGGTTGGAGTTTTTTTTTTTTTATAACAATCATTTGTTAAACTTCCAGAGCCGAGTTGCTGTTATCTTCTTACAGGCGGTTATGGAAACACTTTTGGCATTTCTCAACCACTTTCCGTTGTTTGCATTCATGCTTAGGTTCAAAGATTCCGAGCGTTTACCGGGTAAGACAGATTACCATTTAGGCGCATTTCTTCTTTTTGAGTGTTGGTTCTTACGTCTTATCCGCTTGATGTGTAGGCGGATTACGATTTGAAATTTGTGATCCCAATTATTTTGCGTCTCACGGAATTGCGAGGGTTGTTCAGGGAATCAAATCTTTCTGGCCTTGGTCCGATCAGCACGTCGCACCGGATAGCGCCACCTCGGACACAAGCGTCAAATCACGGTCAAGGAGAAATCGGGTGGTAACGGCAGCCAATGTAACCATTGCCGACTCCGATTCCCTCTTCATCAATTCAACCGCTCATACGGCGACGCAATCTTTCCCACCAAGAGTAAGCTATCTCTTTATGCAGGTATATTGATTGGACTGTATTGCTCAGCGTTCGACTGAATGTTCAATGTTTCGCTCTTTAACTTTCATTATATTTCCAATATTAGAATTTGCCGATACCATTGTCTGCAATATTCTTTCAATATTTGCTGCTTTGGAAGCAGTTGAGTTCGCACTATTTTTCGTTTTACGTGTTACGCTGTCTTGTGAGCGGTGAGACTATCAAGCACATAGCCAGGCTTCAGTATCCAATGTTACCTGAAACGAGGTATACTTCTCGTGCACCTTTAATCGCTTTTAATACCTTAGTATTTTTATTAACTTTTTTTTTTTTTTATATATATCAATGCTAGACCTAATTTATTGAACTTTTGGTTGTTTCTCAAAATAAGTTTTGCGGAACAAGAATAGAAAAAAATTTTTAAAATTCCCAAAAAATAAAATTCCTGTATTAGATATAGATGTTTATAATAAAAATGCAAATCGTTCGTCTGAACATCCAACCAATTCTTCACAATGGAAGGTGATGAGGGACATTCGTCTAATGAGTAACATTCATTAAAATGCTGCCATCACCCTCATATCCTCAATCTTTTTTTGAATTTCCGCTGGTGTTCGGTCCAGCTCTTCGGCGATCATCCTTTTCTTTTCCATGGGCAATAGATTATATTGTTCGCATAAATCTCCATCAACAACACTCTTCACCGGGACATAGAAACTTCGATATTGTAAGTGATCGCGGCCTGCCAGTGGTGGGGACTCATTTCTCATGTGCATTTCAAGGGTTTGAAAGAAATCAATATCTTCCCGCGTCAAGAATGGTACAAACACTCCAATGTTTCCCATTATCCCAGTGTATACTAGAATTTCACGTCCTCCGGCCACGAGTGTCGTCCGATGAAGTGATGTTATGATATCTCCCACATGATAGTGGACAACCATCGACACCTATGCAAAGTAACGGTTCGTGAATCTCAAATATATATATGCATATATATGATTATTTTTTGTTTTCGTGTAAACAAAAATATTACCTTGTGAGGGGCACCCATCAAATATCCTTTTTCATACATTATCTTGTTACCAGTGGGATCTTCGTCCACCTCCTCACTTGTTTCCGCGGGTAGGCGATCAACGAAAAAGTTTCCAAACTTGTCACCACCAGCAATCGTGTCGTAATCTATCATGACGGTGGTTGTTATCCACCTGGGCGTAGTATCATCGGCAAAAATGATAATGCGATTATCGTGTTGCCTGTAGGAAGCATAGTGCACTGCCTCCTGCATGTCGCAAACAATAATACGATTTCCTTGTGTATGCAAGTTAACAATACAATTCGGAATCGCCTTCAGAATAAGGAATGCCGTGAGAAATTCCTACGCACGATTATAAAACTTTTTTGCAAAACGTGTGACTAACCTTTGTTTCGCATTTTCGCAAAAGTTTTCTTTTCCCCAGATCATATATTCTCAATGCTTTACCCACACCGGCAAGAAGTCTGCCCTGGAATCCCAATAATGCTAAAGGCACGTCGTCACATTGAGTCTAAAATGAAACATAATTTGAAGTCATTTGTATCTATGATTTCTTGCGTGGGAAAGGGGGCGTAAATTAAAATTACCTTGTGAACTAATTTCAAAGAATTCCCTTCGTCCGCAAATTGGTAAACGTGCAAGTAACCTACCGAACAAGTGCGTGGTGCTAAATTCGCATCCTTTGCAGTTCCAACGACAAGGAATAGTTCATTGTTTTGACCATGAAAAGTTACAGTAGCAATGCTTGGAGGGAAGTCGACATTTTTAAGGTTATAAAGAGTGAACGATGAGAGAGAATAAATTGAAATGATCGTTGAAAGTTTAATAAGCTACCTGAATGCTGCCTCATTCTCCTCCAGCTCAATTAGTGACGCTGTCTCCCCTTGAAACGGATTAATCACTCTAATGCATGATGCCCATTTACCAACCTCGGCTTTGGGTAGTCCAAATGTTTCTGGTGTCAAATCCAAAAAGCTTGGATCAACTTGCGATCCATCTTTTGCTTTGGCCTCTAGAGCCTTTTCCCTTTCCATTGGAGAATGTGTATTGTGTTCACTCTCGATAACAACAAAGTTTCTTGAAAGTGGATGAAGGACAAAGTGACGTGGGGTGTACTTAAGTTGGATCGAAGCTTGATTAAACACAGTGCCAAGCTTTTCAACGGCGAAAATTCGCAAAGTGTTTGCGGAAATGGCGACGATGCCTTCGGGAACTTGTGGCGAAGTAAAATTTGAGCCGTACTCCAACATGTCGTAAGAAAGTGGCGTAAGATTTAAGCGCGATTGGAAGGTGTAACTCAACCAAGGTCGACTTGATAATGCCAGAACGGCGGGAGCGCCTTGTATTTTAACTTGGAAGAGCTTTACCGGCCGAGCTCCCAAAAACCTATATATACATATGTATGCATTAAACGAGATCACGAAAAGTTTCCCATGGGAACGAGAGGCCTTGAAATCACGGAAATTTCATAAATACCTTTGTCTGGTATCAGTCAGTGCACCAGTAATCGTATCTAGCACAGTGCGTTGTAAGACTCCATTTTGTAATCCGATATTCAGATAAAGGGTTCCGTGCGATGCGTCAGTACCAATATCCATCATCTCAATTATGGACAGGGATTGAGGTGGCACGTTCAGACCCTATCAAAGATTTTGAGATCATAAAATTATAAAGTAAATAATAAGAACAGGTAGTGTCAAAGGAATTTTTTTTTTTTTTTTTTTAATACCTGTGTACTGAGAGTCTCCAACGTATTATCGGGATCAAGGGAAAGGATACGAACAGTATTGTCATCACAACCCACAGCCTTAGAATGATTGCAGAGTGAATATATGTTTCGATTTAATCAAGTTTTTTAAATGATCTCATAATTACCAAAAATCTCGATCGCTGCCTTCCTTCTGGAACTTCTCCAATACTTAAACACGATACATTGGCTGCCATTTCCTTGCGTTCTTGATACTCATTCAATTGTCCTTGGTTATCCAGCTCGAAGTAGACAAGTTCTCCGCCAGTTAAGGCTATGACCACCTGACGCTTGTTAGTGGCCGCTTTAACTATTGCTCTATTTCCCGGGGTTTTCCATTCGTTTACGCGACGATCGGAACGTATATGCCTTATACCTTGGGGATATATCTGTCATACATGTTTTGTCATAAATGATTATGTATTGTTCTCGTTATTAAACCATTAGTTAACTACATATATTAACCTGAAGCAATGCGTCTTCACCAAGCTGATGAACATCCAAGGTAGGCGTAGTGGCGAGGAAACCGGTGTCAGTTACCTCTTCCACCGTCTCGCCGATAGATAGTACCAACGTCGCGTTCACAAACGACACGATTATATACGCGTCAAATTCATCTGTGGAGGAAATGACGTCAGAAACTCACGATTGGCATGTTAATATCGCAGTCTCATACCATCAGTTCTTAATTTCGTCGTCCACACGGCATTAGGATTACCGGGTAATTCAGAAACAGCCATCTCGGATACTTCAAGTCCATGTCTCAATATTCGGAAGGTCGACCCTGCACCTCGGCCGCACAAGGCATACAATTGTGGTGTGTCTTCGTCCGTAAGGTTTAACACCTAAGATAAATACAACTCTTTCGCCTTAATCATTGTGAGAACAAGACCTAGTGATAATAAATTTTGTTTTTACCTTGGCATCAATCAATGGATTCAAGCTCTCCAATTCGTCGGCACGCTCTAAATTTTGCAACTCCCTTGGTGTGAAATATGCCAACGCCACATTGTTGGAATCCGTATCCATAAAATCGTTACTGGACCATTCCGGCTCATTGTTGTCATCACCGAGACTTGTGAACGAATATAACCGACTATCATGATAATAAATGGGAGATTAAGATGGAGGTCATATTAAAGTCAATCGTCATAAATGAAAGCGTCTAGGACAATGCAGAAGCAAAATAACCAATTGACATACTGATTCCCGAATTCGGCAGCTACAAACAAGAAACCAGCTCTTAGTATACATAATGACGCCGCGATAGGCACGGTATCAAAATACTTTATTTTAATGGCGTTCACCTTATCATCCTCGTAATCAAGAGTTACTTTATAAATATCGCCTTCTTCGCTTTGAAGCAAAAAAAAGAAGACACCTTTCATCTTGTGCATCACACCGGCAACAATTATTAGCCCACGTGACGAATCCTCCAGTGGATTTTTGCGACGTGGTATGGGAACCCGAAGTTCGGGCACGCGTTGGTGTTTGTAGGTTATGAAATTTTCCGAACAGACCAATACCCCTGAAGGACCATCATGCCCACCAGGAACTAATAACGTGTTGTAAGGTTAGACTTTTATTAACTCGAGTTCTTCAGGAAATTTGGTATTCACCAGCAAATAGCATGTTTGCCCTTGCATCAACCGGGTCGTTCCATTTTCTCACCACATGATTAAGACCAAGATCCAATTCATAATATGTTAACATCTAGATATTAGGTCAACCAAATATGTAATCAATCCCGATTTGAAATGTACTTCAACATCCCGTGTAAGATGACGCACCTTCTCAGTACTATTGAATGCCTCGCCGGTTGAATCAAGATCCGCCTCCGAATAATCAACCTCTAAACAAGCGAACACTGGATTCTCGTAACCAACGTCTAAACCTATACAGTGATGTACCAATGTGTGCGATTTATGCGCCTCTAGAGGGGATGATATTGTCAGGTTGGCCGCCGAGTCGCGATTAAGTATATACACCAACTTCTGCTTTTCGATGGCACCTG